CCAGACTTACTCAATCGCAGAGAAGTGTTTTAAGTCTGAAACACGTTTGAAGTAGGCAGAGCCTTACAAATGCTCTTACATAAAAAACCTTCCTCAGTTGAAGAACCTGTTCCATGATATAGAAGTGCTTTCTCAGATTGGGAAGTAACTAACCTGCAGTGTTAAAGGAACATGGCAATTCCAGGGTTATGTTGCTGTTATTTTAAATCTCCATACAGCAAAATATTGTTTATTAGATCATTTTAGTGTAGGCTATCTCTTTGCTTTAACAATTTTAGCTGTTTATATATTTTTCTAGTTTTGTACACCACCCAGAATCCATTGAAGTTGGGCAAACCAAGAACACTTGTTGATAGAGCAAGCCACCACTACATTAACTTAGTATTGTGAACTATCAACTTGAGCCAACTTCCCGTTTGCTGCCTGGAACCCAAATTCTCAAGTTTTACTTGCATCTATTCATATTCACAAGGAATTGTGACTTTCTATAGTTTAACACACTGAAAAATAACAGGACTTACATTTCCACATAGGTACGAACACCCAATAGCTAAAGGTCCTTCCCACTCCACATTACTCTGCCTGCCACACACTTGTAGCTTTGAGCCAGTGTTGTAACACAAGAAGTCTTTCTTTGCGCAGCTAACACCTGGTGTTGTTGAAAAGAAGCCAGATGGTTTTAACTCCAGGCTCATGTGATTGATGATCCCCTCTTTTGTCTCACATAGTAACCATCTCTCACACTTTGGGTGCAGATGTTGTAGTTATTAAAAACGCCCCTTTTTATTCTTCCTACTTGGCTAGAGGAACCAATGCAGCAGTCCTGAAAGATTGAGGAATTGAAAGCACTTTCCTCTCACCGAGATTCAATTGGGATGAATGAAGTGCGATATCTGTTTTTAGAAATGACAGGCTTTGGGATTTTTAAAACCTTGGGAACAGGAACAGCTGGCAAATGTTCCATGGAGCAAACACCATGGCCAAATAAGTAATGAAGCCTTGCTGACTCAAATCTCTTTTCAGATTTTTACTTACTTGGCAACAAAGAATCTTGGATTAGGATGAAGTAAAGTTCGTAAACAGTCAAATTAAGTCATCCTGTTGGCTAGAGCTTATTTGACTCTATGGTTATTTCATTTTACACTTTCTTTTATTGTTTTTCCTGGCAAGTTAACTGTGCTTAGGTAATGAAACAGCACCCAGTTTTTCTGAGCTACTATGAAGCCTGTCCATTTGCAGTTTTGAAAAATATGAAGCCTGACAATATAGATAACTACATCTTTTGTTTAAAAAAAAATCAAACTATGTTAAAAACAAGCCTTTCCCAATCTGGTCTGGGAATTTTGAAAGCTGTAATCGTATTAGTATCCTATTATGATTTATGTTAATCGCTTTAGTACCCTGTGACTATCACTTGAGTATTGTATCTATGATTTATGACGATTGTATTTTATGATTATGATTTTCACTTGTTGCTTGTATGTACACTGAGAGCTTAGAAACAAATCCCCAGATTTACCCCAGAAACAAATCCCTTATATGTGTCCAATCACACTTGCCCAATAAAGAATTCTATAATCAGGGACACGAAAGACATTGGGAAGGTCACAAACGATGATCATGTGAACTTGGGATGCTGCAACCATTGTAAAGACATGATGGTTGTCAAGCCCCTAATTTGATCATGTACGCGCAGAGGTGTCAAAGGTTGATCAACACAGCATTTTGATTTTATTTTCTTCACCTAAGAAAGCAGCTTTACTATAGGGAGAACAGAGGTTATGTTGTTATCTTGATATAACAAGGAGGAAGTTACTTTTTCTTTCCCATTTTCTTTCCTTTCCTTTTTCACTCCTCTTCCCTTTTTCTTGTTTCTGTAGTTTGTATTGACTTTTATCCTTAGCAAGGTTTTTCAGAAGTGATTTGCTGTTGCCTCCTTCCTAGAGTTGAGAGAAAGTGACTAGCTGAAGGTCACCCAGCTGGTTTCACATCTAAGGCAAAACTAGAACTGTCTCCTAGTTTCCAGCCTTGATGCCTTATCCTCAACACTAAATTGGCTCTCAGAATTGGAATGTAGAGCTAACCCAATCCGATACTATCTCAGCTTTCAAAGGTCTTCTTAAAAACCTTGAAGGGGAAAGGATTTTTTTTTAAAAAAAAAACTTGAACTGTTACAATCCATTTACTTTCTTTTTTGATCACCAAAGAAAATACTCCCCTTTTGAAGGTTCTGGCAGACAAAAGGCAGGTTGCATTTAGAAAATACTACATAACTGAAATGCCTTGATCATGGCCAGAGAAAATGGATTTCCTGAATCAATAAAAAGGCTCTTGTCAACATGGAGCTGACTTTTACTTTTAAAACACCTTGACCTCAGTCCTTGGAGAACTTCAGACAGCTCCTTCCACTCCCATTCCTCCATCCTTCTCCATTATGCCCAGGTGAGAGCTGCCAGTGAATTAAGAGGAATTCCCCTCCCCACTTTTATTGTTGTTGCTGTTGTCTGTGTTAACTTAACCAATCAATTGTTCTGCTAAAAGCTGCTTGGATAAAGAGGCACACCGAGGATGTGATCAAAGCTTCTCCTTAATATTGTACATGTCTCTGGAACAGAAAAGGCCAAAGAGGCAGCTCCCCTGGAGTGGGGGAAGGTTGATATAAGGAAAAGCACCAAAACATCATATAGTTTCAGGATTCCTCTACCAGAGAAGTGAACCAACGGTGCAATGAGATCAACACCCAAAATGAGTTGCTTTATGCCCACTTTTCTGGATCCGTTTACATTAGATAGGCAATAAAATCAGCATGGCGTTTCTTCTTCTGAGATTTATTTCCAGTTCTTTCTTTCTCCCAGGCATAATGCTCAAAATAGGAAACTTAAGCTTGGGGCCCAAGCCAGCTAGAGCTATGATGATGCATCCCTAACGGTGGTTAGTGAGGACTATCCGTGACTCAGGGACTTGTGAATAGACATGGTTAGGATTACAGAGTCAAAAGTTGTGATTGAGTCCAAGTAGACTTTCACTTTGTGCTTAAACTTTCCTACCAACCTCCAGAGACCTAAAGAGCTTCACTTGGGCTGAACTTTGTTCGTTGTGCATCTTTTGAAAATCACGTGCCACACATGGATTGAATTTATTACAATATATTTATTTGCATTTTGTTGACCATTAAAATGAAGTTATCTTTTTTTTAATAGAGTCACAACACTACAGCACATATGTACAGAAAAAATACTTTCCCCCAATATATCTCTTAGTAATTCTCCCACTTGGCCTCAAATTCCATCACCATTATTTAAATTTCAACATATGGAACTAAATAGCCATAAAATGTATCAAAATAAACAGGGATCCACCTTGCATATTCTACATTAAGATATGGGAGACAGTATAAACAGAGCATATATTGGCTTTCTATTAAGAAAAAGGTATCTTTTCTGTAACAGAAAACCATCAATACACCAGAAGTAAAGAGGGTCATTTATTTTCTTTCACAGAAAGAATTAATTTATCCATTCCATGTTTATTGTGCAAATTCAACAATGCCATTTTAATGTATGCAGAACTACCTGGCCAAATTAAAAAATATTTAGAAACCGTATGTGCAGCTCATTTTAAGTTTTTAACAATAAAGCTTTAAAAAATATTCCTCCCCAACCAATGCCATAAATATCAGCTGCAATCCTCCCAGGAACTACATTCAGGACTACAATAGCATTTCTAATAAAGCTTTGGGAAGTTTTTTAAAAATAAATTTTTTGCCAGGCACGTTAAAAATCAGCCAACAAGAACAAAATAAATTTGCCAAGTTTTCTCAAGTGGATTCACATTTTCTTAAAGAAATCCAGAGTTTGCCTCAAGTATTATCGCAGTAGAGTTCCATTGTGGGGTGATCATGACAGGCCCATCCAAAAATTCTCAGTTTAGCCTTAGTGACACAGTCCAATTCCTGAAAATATTTCCTGTTGGTTTAGGAACAATTCCTTAAAATGAAGCCTGTTCATAAGGCAGCATTTTCCTCCTTTAAAAACTGGAATAAGAAAATAATCTGCACTTACCAAGTAGTGAATTCTAGCTGTGTTTTTGTAATTTAGGTAAATGGGAATGAAATCTGTTTAAATAGGACTGGGCAGAAGCAAGATTCCAGGGGCTATACAACATTATTGTGTAACCTTAGGTGCATCGTGCATGTTTTGATCCGAGAAATCACATACAAATTCAAAATGGCAAAACACATGTTCTGGCTGCAATGCGCGTAAGAAAGAGGAATAAGCAAGAGAAACATTCTGCAATAAATATACATGCCCCAAAGGTGATAACATCGAAACATGTTTTTCCATGGCTTTCTGTTCCCCATGCTAGACTTTGAGGTTTATCAAATGTTGCTCAATCCATAATAATGTTCTTGGACCTGAGAAGTAGATTTTATGTTGCTCAACTAGTAATTTTGTAACATTAAAGACCTTAAAATTATGCTGGTTTTGGATCAGTACCTGTATTTCTTTATGTATGATATTGCCCATATGTAGGAATCAATGTACATTCAGAAATAATTGGAGGGACTTTACTAATCCCATCAAGATATGGTATCCAATTGTACTACTTAAAGCATATAGGATGACACAGACAAGGAAAATGACAAAATCCTGTTCAAGGGAATGAAATGGAATGTGTGATCTAGTTCAGGGATCCCCAATCTGTAGAGCTACACCGGTCCACGGCATGTCATTAACCGGGCCGCGCAAACAAGCAAAGCCCCATCCGCAGGATGCAGGCAGCATACAAAACCATGTCTCCTCTGGTCCACGGAAAAACCTCTCTCCACGCAACCGGTCCTTGGGGGCCAAAAGGTTGGGGGCCACTGCCCTAATTCATCTAATGGAATACAAAAGAGCACGCTTGTGTGCTCGTTGAAGCAAAACAACATGTAGAAATTTGGCTGTGCGCACATAATTCCCCTTTAATTTTAACCTCTTGGGCTTTAAGAGATGGGAGGGTTTTTTTTCAAAAAGCTAAACCACAGATTTTGAAAGAGAGAAATGGATTCAAATCTCAACTCCATTTCTCCTTCCCTATCAAGCAAGTGGCTTTAGGGCTTGAGCAGTTTTGGTTTAACTTTATTTATTTTACATATGCTGCTTTGGACTGCTGAGAACAGTAATCAGAGGAAACAGTGACATTGCTTCAGAAAGTGTTGTCTATTCATAAAAATATTAACAACACAGAAGGAATTAAATGAGAATCTAAAACCAATTTCTAGCTGGGCCATGACTATGGTCACCGACAATCCTGATTTGAATCAATCTTCATCCCAAAGACTGTAAGTTGAGAACAGAATCTACAACATGAGATTTAATCGTGTGGGCTGTCTTACAGGATTAAAATTGCAAATTTTTGACTCAATTAACATATGATGAAATCCAACTGTACTGATGGGGCTTATTTCTGAGTAGCTATATCAGTTGCAGCATAAAGCTAACAGGATAATTATTTGGCGGAATGTGCACTGTAGGAGCCAGTGTGAAATTAATTCATTAAAGACCGACAAGCTATGATACTGAATGTAACTTTCACTAGCAGTGGTAAAAGCACCACTGATTTAATGGCAAATGAATTTCCTTACTTAAAATTGGCTTGCAGCTTTGGATCCTAAATCCAGTTAAAGGCAGAGGTTACTAACACAGCAATCCATTATATTTTTTCCAAAAGTTAGGCCCAATGACTTTATTGGGACTTCCAAGTCATTATTTATGGAAAACCATCTAGGTCAAGTTAGTGAAAGTAATTTAACTTTATATAATGAACTTTAGCTGGATTTGGCCACTATATTTGGCAGCTGCTAGAGTGCAATTATGAAAACACAAATAGACAGAATTCTAAGTTCCCTTTTAAAAGAAGCAGAATCTATATAATGGTAAAAAAAATATATCTAATATTCATATAAGGATTCCAAACCATTTCTTCTAAGGGGTATTATTTACTCAGAGATCAGCAAGAGAAAAGTACTAAAGTGACATTGCAACACAGTGAGAAAGGTATTTTAACATATGTTCTAATCATCCCAATACCATTAATATTGCCCAGTCTCTAACTTTAAAAAACACTTACTGTTGTCTTTATGTCTAGTCTTAAACTGATTACCTAGCAACCTCCCAATAAATATTAAAAGGAAATAGTTTAATAAAAGCAAGGATTTTCTTTTTTTAAAAAAGATTTGATATTCTACAGTATAAACAATGGAAATCTGCATTTTAAAGAAGGCCAGCAACTTGTAAAAAGCAGCTCATCTCAAAAGCAATCTAAAATATTCATTATAATATTGAATCTCAGGACTGTTAAATGTAAAAAAAAAAAAAGGAAGATAATGATTTCTCCTAATTGCATCAAGAAAAAAATGAAATGTAAAGGAAAAACTCTCAGTAATGGCTGTCTTATAATGTAGGACACCCCAAATCATATTAATCTCAAAATTGTGTGGTAAAATAAAAAGAAAAATACCCAAAGATAAATCTTCAAAGGATTTAAAATCAGCCAACTCCTTCACACTTCACATCTAATTCACGTAGTGCAAATAAAATACGCTGAATCAGCAACAAAGCAATTCAAGAAAGTTCACTAAAATACTTCCAGACATGTTTCCCTTGCGATTGGAAGCAGAAACCTTTGCGTATAATTATTATGTAAGATGGGAAGAGCATACTTCTACTTAAATGGCATCGCTCTTCATGGAAAAGAAACCAGGAAAGGCAGAGGACTCCACTGCCAAGTATCCTTTCTAAGACATCCTATTTGACAAGCGTATGTCATAGTAGTAAACTCTAGCGGGTCCTCTGGCGGGTCCAAATCTTCTAGCAAGATTAAGACGAAACACAGTGGTAGCAGACATAATGGTAGCAGACGCAAGGTTTTGTTTGGTAAAATATGGCCTAAGCTTAATTAGAGCCAACTAGTCACGTGCAAATGATAATCAAAGTGCATTCAATTCCTTAAAAAAAAAAGATTTTCATCGTAATAATAAAATTGAAAGAACAATTTGGCAATATTGACAGAATTGGAGGTCAGAATCATACTGTTAGCAATAAAAACTAGTACAGTGCTAGTGATCACAGCCATGCTGCGTTAAGCTTATCGATTGACTGAATTTTGTTCACTTGATCTCAGCGTATTTCATTGATGGCCATTTTGGGGGGGGGCAGGGAGCATAGAAAATGTATGGGTTACACCTCAGAGGCTTAGAGTTGTTTCCTCTTCCTCTACCCGAGAAGTAGTGGGTGGAATGGCGCCGGTTATGCTTCAAGGGGCAAACACACCACTGTGCTTTCAAAGCTCACATGGAAACACTGAAGACCATAGAGGACTTTGATCTTCCCACTACCACAGCACTCGGAACTGTCCCTTTCAAAAGAACACATGGCATTGGGTACCTCTTTTAAGCATTATGCTGGTGAAGAGCTGGATGGACAACCTTCAGAAATGTTTTTAAAGAACAAAGGTAATTTCTGAACTGATTTTTTTTTTTAAACCACTTCATCCCCAATTTTGTTTTGAGGCACAAAATCCAGTTGAACAACTGAAGCACAGAAGAGCTGAGATGTTGAGATGCCGCCAAGATGTTTCAAAAGAGCTATGGCAAACTAGAATGAATATCTTGATTTTCAAAAGGTGGCAGTGGCTCCCTCCAGTATGTGAACTGACTGTAGGTGTCAGAACAGGGGAAGTCTGAAGAATGCCTTCTTTTCAGCAAGGGAAATACATGATCCACCACTTCACAAAGTCTCACATACCTGTGAGGAGAGAGAGAATGGGGGAGTAAGAATGGAAGGAGGGGGGAGAGAGAGAAACATCTGAGATATTATCTGAACTATTTTATTTATTTGGTTAGTTTACACGCTGCCCTTCTCACCAATAAGGCAACTTTGGACAGCTTATAAAACAGTAAAAAGGTAAAAATCAAAACATTATAAAATATATTACTGATGTGGTGAATTGCATGAACACAACTCGGGCAAAATAATTAGAAAAACATCACATCCCTACAGCCTTTTAACTTATTTCTGAATATTAGGTGCAGTGGTGTGGTTTTCTAAAACGCTGAGTGAAGCATTGGGATGCTGCTAAAGATTTGTAAACCGCAGTTAGTCAGTCTGGTACCAAAAGACTTGTAAGAAAAGAAGCCACAATAGATTTACAAAACACACTAAAGTAAAAACAGCTACAAAAGCATCTCCTGCAGCTTACAGAAATGAACAGGTAAACATTTGAGGTGTTTTTAAGAGTAAGCCTTTCAATGGCCAAACTGAAATTATCCTGATCTTTGGATTTCAAAGATTGGAAAGAGCAGGATAGAGATACAGGTGAAAGCAACAAGATCTTATTTTTCCTAATCAAATTTATTAACCCCTGGGAAAACTCCATCTGTAGCAAAGTGTTACACTTCCCTCTATAATCACTTCCAAGTAGTTTTTCCCACCCGAATTTCAACTTCAGAAAACCTAACAAACATAACCACCAGGGTAGACAAACAGCTTATGAGACATCCGAAAACAAAAGTTTGGAAAGGAGAAAAGTTGTTAATGGATTGTACTTACAACGGGACTCGGTCGTTCTTTTTTAGAAATGTTTACTTGATTATTCTGTTGTATGCACAAATACCCTCACCTTATTGAATTCTTAAGAGGGCATTTTTAAATCACTGCAAGTCTATTTTTTAACCCAATGTGTGAGTCCTTTAATAAAGAGATTGTTTAAATAAAGAACATGTAGATTCCTACTTTTTGATGTTATTAATCTCTACTCAACCAAAGTAAATGTTGGGAATACACATAATATCGCTGAAATTTTATTTCCATTTAATTCATGTTATAACTTCCAGTATCTAGGACTTAAAGAAAAAAATCAGCACTACATAAGCAGCCGAAAGATACTCACGATGAAATGTTGGTCTTAGCATGTTCTTGAATTAGTTCTCCTTTTGGATTAACAGTGAATATTCTGTTTAATGAAACTCCAACTTGCTTATATGAATACACATCCTGAATAAAATAACAAAAATATATGAATCTCATTAAAATAAGCCACAAATAGTTTTAGTTGTATATATTGGAGGCACTTCATAAATAATTACAAAATATATATTCCAAGAACTAGGTCTGAAGTTCTGGGATAGTAGCTTTCACAGTAATAACACAGAAATGAATTGCAACCGTTGTTTTCATACAATTTTAAAAAAAACTTTCTGGTCATTATCACCATTAAAAACGAATGGCAGAGTTTCACAAACATTCAGTGAATGCTTGATCTGGCTGTCTAGGGAATGGAAGCGATATAGAAGGGGTTATCTAAGCACAGATAAGATACCTTTGTTAAGGATTACCTTGGGAAGATAAGAGCAGTGTTTGCATTTCTCTGCTGTTGTTTTGTTTACTGATTGCCCACCTGCAGATTTCAGCTAATACAATTATACCTAGGCAGGGAGAGACCAGTGGGGACCAGTGGGATACCTACAAGGTCACTGAGGCCTATTCTCAGTATCTGATCCACTTTGAGCTGGATGTCAGCCATGCAAGTCCTTTGCAGGTGATTGAGGCAGCCTAGTTAGATAATCTGGGAAGGTTTTCAAGCTGTTAGTCCTGAGATAAGAGACGGGGTTTTTTCTGGTGTGTGTGTGTGTGTGTGTGTGTGTGTGTGTGTGTGTGTGTGTGTAAGTATGACCACCTGTGCTTCAGATCTATGTCCATTCCAGTTGGTCAAGGTCTCCCAGGAGGTGGCATGGTTGGATCTATGTAGTGGTGAACTCATCCTTGAGAGAAGGGATAGTTCTATTGACTCTGAAGGAGATGGTTTAATCCCTCCTCAAAAAGCCATTGCAATACAGCAAGACTGCAGTTTCAGTGGGCATTTCTGGAGGAAACAGGTTCTCTGGACTCCTTTTCATCTGGTCTCAAACCAATATGTAGCCCTGATACCTCTTCTCAGCAGCTTTTGATACCACCAACAATGGCATCCTTCTAAACCAGATCAGGGGTCTGGGGTGGTCAAGAACAGACCCAAATGGCCCCCAGCCAGCATGGCCAACTGAGGCAGTGGGAGTTGAAGTTTAGCAGAATCCAGAGAATACTTTTCTGAACTGAAAAATGAATCCTGCTTCTGTGGAAGAACTCTGGGAATTATCATCACAATTAGTACTTACAGCAGGCCTGTTGCCAAAGGCAGCATAAAAAGGTTCTGTGTTAGGATGAAATAAGTTTTTTATGTCTGTTAAACACTGAACTTTAAATTTCTCTGGCTTCTTCTCTATCACTTCCCTGAAATAAAAGAAGCAAATAAAATTAGGTAAAAATAAAATAAGGTGAAATATTAGATGATAATGCTTTATGTGTAAACGGTACACAATATATTTCTTTCAGGTATGTGAACACTTTCAACTGATGAAGACTTCGGACTAATCTCTCAAGGTTTTCAGAATTTTTTTATAGTCCATAGGGCTGTTTAAAATTAAACATGAAGACTCATTCTACGTACACGAAACAGGCCAGTTGCATTGCTATAAGCCTGCTGATTTTGGCAATGTGGGAGCTGTGGTTCATTTGGATAAAATTTCAGTCTTCAAAAAAAATTATATACTTACTGATTAATATATTGGCCTTATAATTATTTTATGATTATCAGATTCCCTCAGTGGACAATAACATCAAATCAGAAAGGAAAAGTTTTCCAATCTGCTGTATTTTAGAAATATAAAGATCAAATGTTTTTCTTTTAGTTTATTTTTGTTCAGTGCAAATAAGAAGCAAGTGGATTAAGAATATATTTAGTGAGGAAAATACTCTGCTTTTAAACATTTCCCACACAATTTTGTGCATAAGCCTAAGGTGAATTCTGATTACAGGTTCCAAATCCATACATTTATATTTCTGCCAAAAATAGCTTAAATCTCACTGCTTTTTCATCAGGATCACATAATTACCTTTCACTAGAGTTGATCCATAAATACTGATTGCAACAACGTGCATTACGGGACAATAATATATTTTACTACTACATTTCGTGGGCTCACTACACAAGTATATGATACCTTTGCAATAGTATATAACTGCTGACACCTTAATCTTATTGTGTAGTAGGTCTAACCCCTGAACCATTTTAGTGATGGAAAAAACTACACCCTGTTTATAACAATGTTTCTCAGCTGTGGCCCTTTTAAGGAGTGTGAACTTCAACTACCAGAATTCCTCAGTCAGAATACTGGTAGTTGATATCCACACTGTCAGCATTCCAAGTAATGCACCCATCTCTGAGATGGGTAATGAGGCCATCTTTGAGGCCTTAGGGTTACCACACACCTCTTAAAAAGGCCAAGATTGGGATACATTGTTCTAGGGTTACAAGAATCAAGTTCTGTGATACCTGTGAAAAGCTGAGAACAAACTGCTGGGACTTAATAGCACAGGGCCTTGTGGTAACACCGTTCCCCGCTCATTCACCCAATGCAAGTAACCTCGAGTCATATCTGCCATCCCAATAGCACGGGCTGAACAGTACAAGAACTTGTATCCATTCCTGTGGTTTTAAAGAGGAAAAAACAGGCCGTCATCATCACACATTTATTGAAATTGTTTTTGCAACCTACAGGGATTATTATTATTATGTATGCAGCAATGTGAAGCCACAGCTGCCAGTTCTTTAGCTGGTGTTGGCCTTCATACACATCAAACTCTTCCCATGAATCTTAGATAGATATAGATAAATATTTATTTATTTTGTCAAACAATTATTAGATAACAGGTATAAGTATAAATACATGTTATAAATACATGAAATGGATACAAATAAGAACAAAGAAAGAAACAATAGGACAGGGTTGGTAGGCACGTTTTGGTGCGCTTATGCACGCCCCCTAATATATATAGGTAGTCTTTTTCTTATAACCGTTCATTTAGCAATCATTCTAAGTTACATGTAGGAGAAACCTGGGCTGGAAGGTGAGATTAAATGTGTTATCATTTGGAGTCATTGAATTTCCACAAGAGATCCAGGTCCAGTTTCCACCCCAACCCAAATGATTTCCATTGACTCTTATATAATGCCAATTTAACTTTGACCATTAGTTGATTAGATTCTTATATTAGATGTAGCAATAATACATTCTTCTGTGCTTTGAACTCAATGGATGCTCGTGGTTATTTGAGCCTGATGTTACGACACTGAAAAAAGTGAGTTGTAAATTAGTCCTTGCATTTATGATCGCCACAGTCACATGATCAAAATTTGGGCACATGGTAACCACTATGCATTTACAAGGGTCACAATATCCTAGGGTCAGGTGATAGCCATCTGTGACCTTCCCAGCCAGATTCCAACAAGCAAAGTCAGTGGGGGAAGCCAGATTTGCTTAACCACCTTCGTTTAGCAATTTGGAAATTCAGGTTATAATTATGGCTGTAAATTGAGGACTACCTGCATACCCCAAAAGGTATACAAGTCCAAATACAGATATGCAAGAAAATTTAGTACAGTTCACATCCATGAGTTCTGCATATGCATTAAAAAGGAGGAAAAAAAGTGCTCTTAGGCAAGTTGGGTGGGCCACTGAAACTTATGCTAGCTCTTCAAGACTTGTGGACTTCAACTCCCAGAATTTCCTAGTCAGCATGGCTGGCTGAAGAATTCTGGGAATTGAAGTCCACAAGTCTTAAGAGTTGCCAAGTTTGAGACCTATTATGCTACACTATGTTTCCAGGAAGAGTACATTCAGGGTCTTTAAGAACCAAACTTTATTCCTGGAGAGGGCAAAAATGATAAGAGCTGTTACATAGCCATGCTATTTATCATTCCAAAGCTGCCTCACCGTCCTTAAGGATGGGCGCTCAATTCTCAATGTTTGAAATATTCTTAGCTCAATAATTGGCATTTATTTTTATATGCCAACTCATATGCAATGGAAACTGCTGATAAAGGAAGAAGTGATTTTGCAGAATAGTTAATATACTTACTGGCTCACATTGTGATACAATTTAGCAATGCCTTGATGTGTCCAGTCCTTGCCAAGGGTAGGTAGAATATGACCTAAAGTATCTGATCTAAAGAAACAGAAGATATTTGAAACCAAGAAGAAATTTACAATAACAAGCTGTATTTGTGGAATACAGAAAATATACTTGTTGCTCAGCACAATTACTTTAATGATCTCTAGCAATGCAGAAATATATTTAGAAATATCATTTAGTTATTTTTTCCTTTTCAAACAATTATTTTCACTTTACAATGGTATTGGAAATATTCTTATGTTGACCCTATTGACTTGGTAATAGTATTATTACCAAAATCCTTCCTTGACTAAATTATATATTAGACGCAGCAGTTATTTTGAGTCACTTTACTCTTTCACTTTCATGTTTCAACAGATGTTTAAACATTTTAGCAATTACTTGTTCCTATTTGTACATAATATTTCAAACTCAGTCCTACAATGTTCAGAACTATGAATTCTGTCTAGTTTAAACTTTATAATAATTGTAAATAAAAGAAATTGGTAAGTATATCCCTCTATCACTAGTTCTTCTGTTGATTTTATTTTACATTTCCCCTGAGAGGATTCTAATAACTTACAATAAGTTAGCCATTTGTGTTGGCTTACGATTCAACATCCATCAAATGTTTCTTTCGTTCTAACAGCAACAAAGATGTTTAGGGCACAACCTGGGTGTGTATCTACTCCTTAGTCTCAGTATGACACGTCTAACAGAATTTGATGCATTAGTAGGATTTAACGTTAGTAGGATTAAACAGAAGCTAAAGATAGTAATGAAAAATATGAAAATACAAGATAAAGCAGAATTGATGAATAAAAGGTTTTAAAATTCAGAAGAAGATAAAATATTTGTCATCATGTGACAAATATGGGTTATATATTATTTCAAAATAACTATGTTAAGACATAGAATGTTAGAAAAGATAGGTTAACATGAAGCAAACTACAATTGTTATTGCTGAGGAGAATTTGTATTATTAAGATGAATATTTTGCCTAGAACATTGTTTTTGTGTCAGGCAAACCAAAACATCACTTTTGACAACTGATACACCGTTTAAACAATCTAGAAGAATATAACTAAATTTGTGTGACGGAGGGGGTAAAATACAAGTTAAATATAAAGCGTTGCAAAGTACAAAAAAGAAGAAGAAACTATATATTTGCAACTTGTTTGTTTGGATAAAAGAGTGGGTGCTGCTGAAAAGCAGAAGGTTTTTGGAGTGACAATAACACAACCTGAGATTTGGGTGGCATGGATAACTCCAGTACGACAAAGTTAAGGTTAATGTAGATTTTAAAAATCATTATTAGACCTGCTATAAAAAGCAGCAATTCTTGACACTTCCCATATATGTCATTCTAAATTTTGGCATAGGGGAGGGGATTTTTTTTTTATTTTTTTGCATATTGTGTAAACCTATCCACTGCCATTTATAAACCATGACCACGTCAATTCAGCCAGTTGTGCTTAATTCAATGACCCTATGGCTTAGCATGACAAAAGAAAAAAAATCAGAGCTCTGACTTCAGCAATAAAAGAATGCACAGGAATGATTAAAGAATGTTTTAAAATGAATACTAAAAATAAACAAACCAAATGAGAAGATGTAGAAGAACTGCAACCACTGATTTCCTGGGCTGTGAAAGACCAAGAAACTCTACTTGCACCTCCTGCAACATTTCACTCTTAGGATAATTATGTCCTGCAACTGGCCACTGTCTGGCACATAAAAGAAGAGGAAAACGCATTCTCCTATCACTTCAGCCAGATTGGCAAAAAGCCACTATTACTTCCTTGTGTCACTCTTGTATCACATAGCAGAAGCAAAGAGCTGGCATCCCCACTTTGTCTGATGTTTGACAATGGCCAAGTGCTTTTATATGCTGTAAAGCACAGACTGTGCCATCAATGTGCTGCTTGGAGTAGTTCGATCCTTAAGTGAAATGAATATACATGACTCCACCACACTAAACAGACGGGACACTTCAAAGGAAATCTTTAATGTTTGTTTCTCTTTCACAAATCATGAAATAGCCAATCTTTTAATATTTGCTGTTCATTTTAAAGTAAAAATACCACTGTTAGTTTGTCTTATCAGAGAGAGCAGAACATAGTATTCCCTGAACAGAAACGTGCCATTCTGTGTCTGGCTAAAAACTCACCTTGTGATGGTGCCATCAATGTCAGAAATAATGACTTTGTCATCCCAGTTCCACAAATAAATGGTGCCTTCACAGCGACATGTTCCTTGATATTGTGTTGTGACACTAAAAGTGACATCATTGGGACCGTTTTTAAGGTTGAGATTTTTCTGTCAAAAAAAAAATAAAGTCTAGAATTTAAACTTACTTTGAAGGAAATATATGTGGAATTGTATTTCAAATGAAGCTGCAATTTTACTTACAGCTTCCAAGCTAACAATTTATGGTCATAAACTTAATGTTAGGAAAATATTTCATTCTACACCAACAAATGAATTATTTTAATTAGGCCTTAAGAGAACCTACAAGGGGGAAGTCCACTAGTGTACAAAGCCATAATAGATAAAATCCCTCAGGAAAACTTCATTGATGCTATAGGTAACTTTGGCATATGCAGACAGTAATCATGTTAGGCTTTTCCAATAACATTTTATAGACACTTAAAACACCAACTTTGGTTAAAGAAGGATGCCTCCTTTGCTTGTATTCAATGCTGAGCTTAAAGAATGAAATGATGTTATCAAAGAAGTCTCCTTAACCAAAAAGATGGAAGACTCAAACTGGACTCCTTCTTTCTGAAAATTATGCCCCATGTCCACCAACAATCAAGAATCTCTTCCTGTCAGTCAGAATTACAGTGCAAACACTCAGCTTCTCTTTCCCCCTTTTACAAAAATTATTCAGATCGGCCTAAATTACTTATGATTATGATCATGATTTATCACTTGTTGCTTGCATGCACACTGAGAACTTATGCACTGGAAACATATTCCTTGTGTGTCCAATCACACTTGGCCAATAAAGAATTCTGTTTTGTTCTAAATTCCAGATTTTGCTTCACAAGGCAGCAAAAGATTCCACAGATGGTCCCTCAGAGTGCCAATTCAGGTGCCAATTTTTGGCATAGTGACTACACAAAATCTTTCAATAACTTGGTAAAGGCAGAAGAGCCCATGGCTCATTGACAGAGCGTATTTTTGGCAAAATCAAAGTGGCATCTTTGAAGCTGGCACCTCAGCCACTAGAAACCAGTGGGCTTTCTTTCAAGAAGGAAAATAGACTCTACACCATAGCAAAGATATGTCACCATAAGAAAGATATGTTGACGCATACCTCAAAGAAGAAGAAAACAAATTCCCAGGACCAAGAGAAAGAAACCCCAAAAGTGCTGTTCAAAAGGCAGCTGGACTTGGATTTTTTTCCTTGAAAATGTTTTGTTTCTCATCCGAGAAACTTCTTCAGAACTGAAAAAGCTTCTTGGATGAGAAAAAAAAGAAAAAAAACCAAGGAAGTACAACTGCCTTTTGAACACTACATTTGGGACAACCATGACCTGGATAACTGAGAATCTCCATAGACAGAAAAAGAAATGTATGTATTAATGGTCCCGTACATTTTACTGATTTTTCTCAACCTGTCAGTTTGTTCCCTTTTACTCCATTCTTAATGGATGTCATTTGACTGTTTTGTTCCGCTACAGTTCAATTAACAGGATTCCTTTCCTACTACCATGGACATAACTGGGCCAGCTGGACTACCAATCAATGACCTCTCCTTCTTTCGTAAGCAAGTGATACCTGAGGATATCCTTTACTGGGAACTCCCTCATTATCTGGATTCTGCGTGATGATAATGGGGCGGAATCCTGATGACAAATGTCACTTACCAGCTGTTCTGAGCTGAGCCGAAGGCTCTTTTTATAACCTATTCCGGACAACAGTGGAAGGTGGGTGGTTTCACTTTTAGCTCGGTGATCTTCATCACTTGAAGAAGAATCATCTTTGATTCTGAAACATCAGACACAGAATGCTCACATTTCTTTTCTGTATCATCTCAGTGGGACGACAGGTTGATAAATATTATTCCTCAGCCATTGTTGATTATTTTGTTTATGACAAATGAATTCTCTTTGGGATGTTAGGTCAAGAAAGAGTGACTGGCTCTCAAGATCACCCAGTGAGTTTCTTTCCTGCCTGATATGGACACCAGTCTCAGCAATCCTAACCTGTTACTTCCCTCATTAAACCACACAGGCTGAAATCATACTGATATAATTCACAATCCTTTATCTCTGCCTCTGATTATTCATAATTTGGTATTTGTTGGAGCTCCCAGAACTGTCAAGCTTTCTATAAAAGTAATAAAATAGTAAAGTAGCAGCAGAGACAAATAGAGTCGATTGTCACAACTATGCTACCAGAACGAACCAAGAATTTTCATCTGGCAAAATCCCCAAATAAATTTGTCAGTGAAATAAGTTTGAAACCATTTGGAAAGAGACACCATAACAAAGGTCTAACAGATTTGGATTCAAAACTTATTCAGTTATGTAACTCAGAAGGCATTTTCTTACCCTTTTGAATAGATAAATAAGATAATTTTTTGAAAATTTAAAAACAGGATAGCAATGGCCAATACCTGTCTGCAATACTCGTCTCTTCTTTTCCATTGAGACCTTGTGCTGGCTTTGCCTCCTGTGGGTAAAATGTAAATGGGTGAGGAATAGTGTGTGAACATTTTGCACAGTCCATTGTCTTTCTACTTTGAAGAAAACCAAACTACAGCCAAAATTAACACACTTTTTGCACTATTCCATTACAAAATCCATTCTTACTGGCCTCCATAGTTCTGTTTTATCCAGCTATGAGGGAAACATTTATTCAGGTGATTCACATAAGGAGCTTTATTGTGATTAATAATTTCTTCCTGGACCGACTTCTAAAGTTTAATGGGGAATATTAATGATAAGCAAAAAGTAAAGGTAAGACTGAATGTAACTCGACTTATTGACGACTTCATGGATACATCCATGGGGTTTCCTTGGCAACAATACAGAAGGGAATTGCAACTGCATTATTCTGTGTAATCATTGCATACCATTAGCTAAATGGACCATCTACGTCTACTGTCTTTCTACTAGAGAATAATAAAAGGGCCTGGCCATCATACTCCATCTGCCTTTCTTCAAAATCTCCCATCATCATTTTGGCAATCCCTGCAGGAGCTAAAATGCTTCATCAGATGGCTCATGCACCAAACCAGCAAGTGAGTTTTTAAAGTATTGATGGTGAATACTACTTGAATACTATTCAGGAAAATGATATTGACCAGCTTTGAGATGCTGAAGAAAGAATGTGAGATATTGTACCAAGAATTACAATAACCAGCTTCCTGGAAATCTTTGTTTGTGGCAGCCTGTATGGCTTAAGAATCTGCAAATACAGGTAGCCCTCCTTTGAGCCCAAAATTTCTGTAGCTAAGCGAGACATTAGTTAAGTGAATTTTACCCCATTTTAGCACCTTTCTTGCCACAGTTGTCGAGTGAACCACTACAGTTGTTAAATTAGTAACACAATTGTTAAGTGTATCTGGCTTCCCCATTGACTTTGCTTATCTGAATTTCACAAAAGATGATCCCATGTCCCCTGGGGACACTGCAACCGTCACAAATATGAGTCAGTTGCCAAGTACCTGTATTTTGATCACAGGATTGTGGGGATGCTGCAATGGTCGTAAACGTGAAAAACTACCGTAAGTCACTTTTTCAGTGCCGTTGTTAACGCTGAACAGTCACTAAACGAACTGTGATTAAGTCGAGGACTACCTGTAAAGTTTACATTCTGTTTATCACCCAAATAGGATCCCAAACAAACAAGCAAAACAATTCCAGTGTTTAGCATTCAGCAGTTCATTTTGTTAAATCTGGATTCTTTAAGGAGAGTCAACAAGTCACAGTTTTCATGCAATGGGCTTGTGTAGAGTGTTTGTGTGTGCGTGTGTGTGTGTGTGTGCATTTGTTTGTGTGTGTAGAAGCCTAAAAGAAAAATTCAGGGTAGTTCCAGATTTACCTCTTTGATAGAGTTATTCCTCCCTCTCCATGAAAACCACCATCTTCCACCTTTTTTGGGCATCTTATCCCTCATTATAGAATCCACAGTGGCCTGTGATAAATGGATGGTAACATAAATAATGGAACTAAACAAAAAAATAATTGAATTCATGCAAACAAAAGGTTTTCTTAAAGAACACAACCCAAAAAAAAACAAGCACAGAGACAATTTAAACTGAGGCAAAGCAAGTCAAAGGAAACGTACTATCTGTGGGCTACAAATCTTGTTAAAGCAAAGCCTAATGGTATCCACAAGTGCACGGAAATAACTTAAACAAGAACTCTTCAAAAATTCAACAAAGAAAAATAGGAAAGAAAAATGGGAACAAAAAGGGCATAATAAGTTTAGTGTAATGCACAAAAGGTGGGGAGAAAGAAACACTAATTTTGTTTAGTATAAATTATAAAAGACATTTTATTGGCAAGGAAATCAGCACAGCTGTCTTTCATAAAAATAATTAATAGCTGTATGCTTCACTATCCTCTAATAATTATTAGAAAAGGGTTAAATGATAATGGTTGAATGAAACATTAGCATTAAGACAGCAATCTGATAGCTACAAACTGCTGAAATGAAAGATACGGTCTTAACACAATATGTTTAACAGTGAATTTGTATAGATACAGGTGATTTCTTATTCTAATCAAAACAAATATTTTCTCCTTAGATCAAGATAAAATTAACATCCAATATATTCAAATGCACAAGGATCAATCCTAAAATGCATTAAAATGCTTTGGATAATTCACCAGATTTTAATTACCTAATGAAAGTTACAATCTACGCAGGTAGACGAGCCATCAAAAAATCCTCAACAATTCATAACTCTCCTTTATCTCAAAGGCCACTGCTTTAAATCAGTTCAAATTCACATTCCATGCAGAGGCTGCAACAGTGGGGGAACCAGAAGCTGGACTACAAATCCCATCATCTCTAAGGATTGGCTATAGCAGATGGGACTTGAAGATCAGCAACTGGATCTCACTTGCAGGCTTACAGCAGGAATATGGAGATCCAGTCCTTTGTGAGCGATGGGGTGCAGGAAATACTTATAGGCTTAATGACCCACATTTCTTGGG